GGGCAGACAGAATGGAGAGAGTGCTGCGAAGCAGCGGCCTGACAGTGACGACAGGGGCTCCTGTGAATGACGCATGTCACTTTGACGGTTACCGTGCTAATCTCTGCGAACAGCTGTGACTCATGTTTCCTCCACGGCTGAGCGTGGTTGAAATGAAGGTGGAGCCCGTAAAGGAGGGGGAGAGCCCAGCTGCCGATCTGCAAGCTCCAGAGAAGCAGCAGCGCACTGAGACAGAGCAGGACCTGCAGAACTCGGTGTTGAGAGATCTGTCCCAGAGGGCACTGCAGGACACGCTTCCTAAGCCAGTGAGAGGCAGGCTAAGGCAAGTGGGGGGGCTCGTTACTATGCCTGAGGAGCAGCTGATCCATGCTATTGACTTGTACAGAGAGGAGGAGGACTCTGCTAAAGAGCGTCAGAGGGAGCTGATGAAGAAACTGAATCACCGCCAAAAACAAAAAGGTCCAGGCACCAGTGGTCTTTCCAGACTCAAGCCCCCGGGGGCAGCCTGTGGACAGCCAACCGTCTCCAGTCGCTGGAGCTGCCCAGGACACTGAATGGCCTCCGGTCCAAAATTGGAACAGAGTGGGTAGATACAATGGATGGGGGTTTCCTCAGAGGGCATCCATTTACCCACAAATCTGATGATCCCAGACTCTGGAGAGACTGGGGAACAGGCCGCTTCAGCTGGTGTGCTGGAGCTGTGATCAGCCTGGACGCACCTGTCCAACCTGCATGTACCAAAATCTTGTTTAGTAGAAGTTCAGATAGGGAACAAAATTGTAAATATGCCCATACTAAGATCAGAGCATATCCCAGTGACTTTTTTAGGCAGATATGCTTCATGTCAGCTGCAGACAGACATAAAATATACAGAGGGGGAGTAGAGGTGCTCAGTGGACAATACAGCCTTCTGCGACAAAATTTGTTGCCCAATAGGGGGCAGTATAGCTTATCCGGATTAGAAAATGTTGCTGGAAAGGTTTGGGACATCCTAGAACAGTGGGGAGCATTTATACAGGAACAATATAGCAATAGGATAAATTGGAAACAGGACAAACATAGTTGTTTGTTGCGATAGGAGATTTCAGTGATTCTGGAGCGCAGGAAGAGTGGGATCAGCTGATAGATTCGCTACCTGGCCGAGAGAAAGATAGGATGCGCATGACAGCAGATGGGACAATCTTAGGCCCTGAGAGAGTAGCCATTCAGATACGGAGGACGGGAATAGTGGGAGAACATACCAGACGTGGAACCCCACATAGCAGTAGCTTTTAATCAGCCCACGGTGGATTTGGGAGACATGACGGGGCGAGCAAAGCAGGTGGTTTGGGTGCCGACGGTGTGTGAAGGAGTGCAGGCAGCGGCAGGAGAGCAGTTGGTAAGGAGTCAGTGGAGTGCAGAGAGTGTAGGAGATTTCAGAGGTTTGTGGCTGTGGAGCATGATAAGAGTGTAGTGTAGGGCTGCATGATATTGGGGGAAAAAATCACATTGCAATATTTATTCTTTCTGCGATATATATTGAGATATTGGGATTTTAAAAAAATCTAATTAGTTCAATAGCTCTATTGCAGGGGTATTCAACTAAAATTTAAAGAGGTCCTGTTAGAGAAAATTTCTTGAAGGTAGCAAACCTCCAGAACATCATTGTGACGTGCGGGCTTGCGAGGCGAGCGGAGAAGCAGGCGAGCAAAGCCGTGATACGTAGAAATTGGAGTTTATTCCGGGGACTACAAAAAACACAACGTAACAACAACACTACAATGACGGATTTGGGAAACAAAGGCAGACGTGGACTAATATACACAAGACAGACTAACTTAAACTAGCGACAGGTGAATACAATCAGGAATTAACACGAGGTAACGACCCCCTCGTTACCTCGTGGCACACACGAGGATCGGACGAGCCGGGCGTCACAATCATAATGTCTAACTATTTAGTGTGATGTATATTTAAGTAGCCTATCAGTTGTATCAACATTGCATGTAATCAGTACCTGACTGTCAAATCAAGTTAATTCAGTACAATTCAGTTCGAGATGTCTGCATATATATGTAACAGTTCTTACCTTGTAGTCTTCTTTTGTATTTAACCGTGTAAATACACTTTTGACTTAGCTTATTTTAGGTTTGTATGATTTCCTGCGCGAGTCTGGAATCGGGTAACACTTACTGTTCCACAGTTAACAGGCAAATATGCAAGAATTAAGTAGCAACAAAGGAGTAGTGCTTCATGAACACCTAAATTAGTACTATTAATTACTAAGGAGTTATGCTTAATTACTCTGACTCAATAGGTAATAGTGAACTAATTATTATAGTAGGGTCTCATTGGGAATTATCTACTAACTATGGATTATTTCTAATAACTACTAGTTCATTACTCGTCAAATGAACAGTGCTTTTTTGGACTAACTGGGACGTATATGCTACAGTTCGCAATGGTTTTTGGCATTTTTTTCCTGGAAAAGTAAAAACAAATGAAACCATTAGTTTATCTTCTCTAAAATCTTGTCTTTAAAAAATATAAATACGTTTGGAATACTTTGTGTATATGTCACTTCAGTCCACTGCCCCTTTGTTACTGGTGATATCTGAAACTTATTTGGTTAAAAATGAGCCCCGCAATTTCCAATTTATGACTTTGTGCATTTAATTTCTAGTGATGGAAATATATCTTTTTATATATATATATGCGTCTAATTGATCAATCGACATATTTATCAGTTATGCATGATCATAAGTCGGTCAAGTTGTGTGTCATATTAAAGTCACAGCAAAAAAACAGAGATTAAATTCATATGGAGAAATCAGGGGCATATATTCTGTGCAGTATTGGATATAGCAGCCTTCTGGACAGTTACAGTTCAGCAATGAGTGTTTTTTTATGTCAGATCAGAACAGATATTACATTTCAGATTGCATACATACATGCATACAACTTTGACTTGTGTTGTGAATAAAATGGTGAAATTAACAACCCTGTTTAAATATTGTTTACTTGTTCATGATATTCTGTCATGGACATAATGAGTCATATCTCCTTATTTGTGTACTACTGTATGTGTTTTGGAATTGTTTTATCCTATAAATGTTGGGTGCTGTCTTGCTCTTGAAGGTATGATTTATGTTCTATGCCTTAGAAGCAGTTGGCATTAATAGTTTTGTGTTGTGTGTTGTGGCTGCAAAATTCCTTAACTAGGAGTGCAACGGACCAGGAGGCAGAGAAAAACATTCAAAGATGGCTTCAGTTGGCACCTGACAGGGATGGAGGAATGAAGGAACATGCAAAAAGGGCAAATGACACTTAATTCCATTGTTTGTGATGTATTTACTTGTTTTGTATTGGGATTTTTTGTGTGTGTTTTTGACCACCCAAATTTCACATTTTATTAACCAGTTTTACAGGGCCATGTTCTTAGATATTTTGTATGTTGTGAAGTGCTTTAAACGCCTCATCTGTCTGTTGATGTTACAAAGTAAAGTGTAATTAAATATAAATCAGTAGTTTGTTGAAAAGCATTTATATGTTGTTTATAGTAAAAGTAAAAATAAACTTTATTGATATCAATTGGGGCAGCTTCTGGGTCCAGACCCTGAATGTGGTCCGCCTGTTAGTGACCGCTGCTCTATTGGTATAATTAATCATTCTAGAAAGATTGAGCTGATTTTGACCAAATATAATGGCAATGATCACTTAATCAGTACTAAACAGAGCATGAGCATTAAACTAAGGAAGCTTATTGCATATGGGAGTTAACATGAGTGACAAAATAGCGCTGGGTTAAATGGTTAGCGCTGGGATCGAGAATGTTTGTGATTGGTGGTTCGTTCTGTGATCGACATGTTTGTTAGCTGCCGGTGCAAAGCTGCGTGTCGGCTCTGTGTCCAAAAACCTTCAAAATTAACCTAAATTATGTTACAGACTTTTGTGGATTGTTAAAGAATAAGAACAGCATGACATTTGTTCGTTTAGCAAAAAACACCAAAAGCGTTGTCCACGCTCCTTAATTTAATTTGCGTTACTTAACTTCGCACGTCCTGCTATGTGACTATTGCACGTGTGTACATCGCGATGACGATGCTGAAACGATATATCGTTCAGCCCTACTGTAGCGTGAAGGGAAATAAAGTGCAGAGGAATGCTGGTAAGAGAAGCGCTGGAGGGGCGTGGCTTGCCCGTAATATGGAAGTTGGCCTGGTGACATCAGCTAACCCAGGAATAAGGGAGACAATAGAAGGGTTACTGCAGGTTGAGGGTGGTGGTCCTTATCAGCAGTACCTGCGACACCTCCCTCATCATACCATTCTGAACTGCTTCTCCCCAGCAGTCTTAGATCCTCCTCTTCTGACTGTCTCCTCACCCCCCCCCCCCTTTCAAATTCCATGGCTACGGTGACCGCGCATTTTCCCGTTTAGCTCCCCGACTTTTGAACTCCCTCCCCAGTGACAGTCGTCTATCAGTCTCAGTCTCTGTGAAACACAAGATAAAAATAATTTCGTTTGCTCAAGCCCATGACATTCCTTATCTGTAATGTGCTGTGTTGCTTTGTTATCTGTTTACTTTATTCTATGTAAGCGTCTTTGAGATTCTGAAAAGCATGATATAAATAAAATGTATTATTATTAGTAGTAGTAGTATTACATTTATATAAATAAAAAGCAACTCCTGCATTTTGTAATAACCTCCACAATATGTAATAATTTATTACAAAACGCAAGTGCTATTACATAATGAAGTGGAAAATTTGTTACATTGTGTCGAGTTATTACATAATGCAGTATTCTTGTCCCAATGTTTTCTCCTTTGGGTGTTAAACCTGTTTCTATTAGCCATTATAGCTCTGTGTTAAGGGAGAATATTTTTAAAATGGTGTACTGTGTAGTTGGGGTCGTAATAGAATTCATGACTAAATGTTATGTGCAGGAAATGAAACTGGCTGAGTGATATTCCACAGGACCCATTGTTAACTTATTTATTTAGAAAAAAAAATTGAACATTAATTGTTGACTTCATTGAAAGAAGCTGTTTCTCTGTTTGGCTGATTTTCATCTTCCGACTGGTTCACCTGGGTCAAATTCATGAGTACCAGCATCTCCGGCATGATAACCTGCTCAATTACTCTCGTGCTGCTGAAAACAATACATAAACATAGAGGCGTAGAATTAAATAAGGATTTAACATTACATGAGGTTAGCTCTGGCCAGCAATTTATGAAACTGTCACATAGTTAAAGCCTTACGCACACCTTTTATCTGTTGTCATGCCTAATGAAGAATTCATTGCCAAGTTACCTGTAAATATAATCTCATCTTTCAGTGGCTGTAATGCAATACATTGAGTCCCAGCATATTTATGACCTGGAATAATTGTTAAAGATGCAGTTAAAATGAATACAACTGCAAAACTGTAAGAACTACCAAGGCTGTTGACATGTTTTTGAAATGGACTTCAGTAGCAGATACTATACGGGTTATGAGTATCGACTTGAAGGTTTCTAGTTCAGGAGGGGTGCCACTTAAATATTGAGTGAGGAACTGGTAAAGGTCCTGTGAAATATACAGATCTTCAACAGGGTGATTCTTTGTTCTAGAATATCAGGCTGAATCAGCTTTTTATTAAGCTGGATTCGTGTGAGAATCTGTGCACTTTCACCAATGTACAGTTTCAAATGAGTTCAGAACTTTTAGGGGGGCATGTTACACGAATATCACACAATTTCACACTATTTTAGTCAAGCAGGTCGCACTGTAAGGTAACTAGAACAAATGGACATCGGCTAGGATGATTCAAAGAAAACCGCTATCTTACCGTCTCCATCTCCACAGCAGGAGCACCACGGCTACGAGCACAATCACTGCAATCGCTCCACTGCCGATGAAGGCTGCAGAGAATCAGGTGGCAACAGCACATGCAATCAGAGCAAGAAGCATCAAGAAAGTTTCATTGTCGTCATATTTTGTGGGAAGATGGTGGCACAGGAGATAGTGCTACCGTTTGGCAACTGGAGGGTTGCAGGTTCGAGCTCTGGTTCCTCCTGTCCCCATCAAACTGTCCTTGAGCAAGACACTGAACCCCAAATTGCTCCCGGTGTGCAGGTTGGTGCCTTGCATGGCAGCCTCTGCCACCAGCATGTGTGTGTATGGGTGAATGTGAGGCATAAATTGTAAAGCGCTTTGAGTACTCGTAAGAGTAAAAAAGCACTATATAAATGCAGTCCATTTACCATTTACGAAATTTCTGTAACATCTCTTCTTTTGCGACTGACACCTCAAAAAGAAGCACGGACTGCAAACATTCACTCTCCTTAATTTACAGGTTTCTATAATCCATTTAGGTATTTCTACCTACATTCGGACCAATTTTGTCCACATGTTCTGGCTAATTATCATATATGTGTTCTTGTGGCCTTTTGCAAATAGTATGTGAGCCACATGTTGTATAACCCTCTTCTCCTCTCTTGTCTCCCTCACACCATCCACGATTCTTTTCAAAGGTAAAGCGCAGGTTAATTTGTTTTATGTATTTTTACTTTATATTTTGTATTAATAATTTTTATATGAATATTTTTGATTTGTGGAACGGATCATATGAGTTTCCACTATTTCTAATGGGAAAATTCGCTTTGATATACGAGTGCTTTGGATTACAACCATGTTTCCGGAACGAATTATGCTCGTAAACCAAGGTACCACTGTACAATGAACAATTCTGCCCATCGGCTTCAGGGGGCGCTATGCTGGACCACATTTAGCCAGCGGTTCATTCCACTACAATGTGCTAAAAAATGCTACTGAATAGCAGCATCTTTCCTGTGTGACATATTGTAGGGCCGATCCCATATGCTATTTAGCTGGCTAATGAAGTCATGACCCAAGGCAGCCTTGTAAACTTAAGGACTACAACTTTTGTCACCTTTTATAACTAAAGCTGAAATTTTCATGCATTACACTGCGTTCTCCTCCAGTGCATTATTTTTTTCGCTTTATCACTGTTTTCAGTTTTCCATCCAATGCAAAATGCAGCTTAATAGGAACATGCAGATTGATACTAAAACAATGATTCTTTCGAATGTTTTCATTTTCAATTCTAATGTAAAAATATTGATTTTTTCATCTGCTAATTTAGATGTTCATATTAATATTGGGGGCAGGACATGAACTACTAATGGGCAGGGCCCTCTTAAGGGGAGAGAAAGGGGACAATCGGGGAATGGAACAATCGATCTGTCAGCAAAACTTATTATAATTGTTAATGTAATTGTTCCGGCTGGGTCAGCGCTAAATGTCAGTATCGGCAATACCAACCTTGACTCAGATCCAAAAGAAAATCACTTTCGTTTCACACAAAGCAGGTTTGTACCATTTTATTTTATCTAAATTTTAGGCGGTGCTGCCACCGATTCTCCGCGATGACACATGACCTTCTGAGATCAGGGGCAAATCATTTTTTTAATAAATGAATTATAACAACACACTATTACTACTTACTAGATTGCACAGCAGTACTTGGTGAAGTCTTCTGTGGATTGTTGGGTCCTAGAGAAGGAAAAACTCTATCAGCCACCGTATGCCTTTCCAGTCACATGCTCAGTCACACACTGCCCCACAAATAGATTTCAGATTGCTGGATGCAAAATCCAGACTGCTATGCATTACATGCTGGACCCACACATGGAACTACTATAGAGGACTGAGGTGGAGTCTAATATAGCATGAGTGCTTGGCTAATTGCCATTAGTATAATATGAGTAAATCCATGCCAGTCACTTCTACTCACTAGCTGGATATTTGAAGCTGAAACTTTATGGTTGGGTTATGAATAAAGTTTAGATTTTCACCCACCAGTAGATACATTATGAATTAAAAACAGTGGGCAAACAACAATTATCCAGTTCATTCTATTGTGATAAAGTATATTCTGTCTCTCTGGATTTGAGCCCAGTGTAGGGGAACTGTAAGAAACTCTGGATGATAAACCTATTCTTCTTTGCAATTTCCCTTCTGTCTTTTGAGAAGAATGCCCTCATTTTGGCACATGCACCAAGCAGGAATGAATCAGTTCCCAGCGAGTCAGGCACCACACAGCCCTCTCTTAGGTGTATATGCAGACAGGAAATGGGACTCATCTGTTACCGCTTCTGCTTCCCGGGGTATCGGATGGCCTTCTTGGTCCAAGGGAGGGTTCTGGGTTGTGAAGCTTCACATTTGTAGTCACATCGGTGAAGGGCGTCTGTGGGCGGTCATAAGTTTTTGTTGTCTTTGATGGGAGGGGACTGATGCTGGATTGTGATATGGTGGACTTCCAGTTCATTATAGGGATCATGCTGGGTGCTGTTGTCGTTGTTGGCGCTGTTTTCGGGGCTGTTGTGGTTGTCCGTGCTGTGGTGGTTGTTGTTGGTGTTGTGGTTGTCCGTGCTGTGGTGGTTGTTGTGGGTGTCGTGGTTGTCCGTGCTGTGGTGGTTGTTGTGGGTGTCGTGGTTGTTGGTGCTGTTGTGGTTGTTAGTGTTGTTTTGGAGGCTGTGGTTGGTGGTGTGGTTATTGTGACTGGTACTGTTGTGGGGTCTGCTGTTGCTCTTGTGGTTCTTGCTGTTCACAACATAAAGCAAGAGTAAATGTCAAATGGACATTACAGTAGCCACATGAAATTCAAATATCAATGCATCCCAGTATCACTGTACTTATACAACATTCCACCAGCTACTAAATTTTTTTGTAACAGTACTGATTTCTGCTACAAAGACCATGATCCTTAATTCTTCTATATGATGTAAATCTCATTTAAAACACCTAAGCAGCTAAGGTTCTGATGACCACTGCTGTGCCATAACATCTTCTCTTTTCATGCAATTGTTTCTGCCAGAATCCTTCTGCTGTGCTCAAAAACAGACTTAATTTATAAAGAAATACTGTAGCTTCTTTTCCCTACATATCATCAGTTGTTGATGATAAAGAAAGATTTTACGTTAGATAAAAGTAAATAACCGTTAGTAAAACAGTGGGGAATCACGATGCAGTTTTTTGATAATGATCACTTTTTGACCATGTGAGGGGGACAGGCTTTCTTATTCTGTGAAATGTGAGATGCCAACACCTCTCCAGCACAAGCCATCATATCAAACAGGGAGAAGAGAAACTGACTCTCATGCAAGCTACTAGAGCTGCATGATTCTGGGTGGAGATCACAATTTTCTCTCACAATTTTTGATTGATGCATGACTATAGTAGACTAACCAATCAGTACACAGTAAGTACTCAGTGCTTAAGTGAAATCCAGGTGGCTCAGTGGGCTAAGCCTGTGTACCTGTAATTACAAAGTTGCTGGTTCAAACCCAGCCTCAGCATGGGTTTGAGGCTGTTTATAAGTTTATAATTGTGTATCTGTCCTTGAGCAAGGCTCTTAAGGGCTCTTCCTGGGTGCCCCAACAGGTGGCTGCCCTTCACAGACAGCTTACTCTACAAAGAGCAAGTTGAGGGAGGCGTAAAAACAATTTCCCCACAGGGATCAATAAAGTATCAATTATAGCATCACGGTTGTTGGGTTTAGCATACGTAATAGCATTGCGGCTGTAGGGTTTAGCATACGTCATAGCCTCACAGTTGTTGGGTTTAGCATACATCATAGTGTCGCGGTTATTGGGTTTAGCATACGTAATATCATTGCGGTTGTTGGGTTTTGGGATAACCTTTAGGTCAGCTGTTCAATTCCAAGTGTGAGAACTTTTCAGCCAATCAGACCTCTAATTAGTAATCTAATAAAGGTGTTGCAGGGAAAACCCACCATCCCTTTCTGGATAAGATTGCCCACCCCTAGTTTAAACCATTCATTTTATACCTTTTTAGCAACAAAATGTGATTAAAAAATCCACGGAACTAAGAAAAAGATGGGTGATGCGTGTACTAGCCGTGTACTTTATCACCTAAGACAGCTGAAGAAGTTTCGGGTTTCTTCAGCGATTCTTAGGACTTTTTACTCCGGCGCTGTGGAAAATGTCCTGAGCCAGAACATCACATCCTGGAATGGAAACAGCTGTATTCAGGACATTAAGGGACTACAGAGAGTGATTCGGGCAGCAGAGCGCTGCACCAGATCTTCTCTACCGTCTCTGCCGGACATTTATACCAGGAGATGCCAGAGCAGAGCAACCAGGATCATCAGAAACTCGTCTCATCCCAGTAACTCTCTGTCTGAGCTGCTGAAATCAGGCAGACGCTTTAGGAGGATTACGGCAAGAACAGAGAGACTCAGGAGGAGCTTCTATCCTCACGCCGTAAGACTCCTTAATCAGGACATGACACCACTACACCCTTAATATACACAACCCATGTAAATCATTCCCAATTGTCACCATTCTGCTGGTTTTAACAATCTGTAACTACATTTCCATCCACTTTTGCTGATTATATTTATACTTATGTCATCTGCACTTTAAATACAAAGCTCTGTCATCATAATTATGCACATGTACAGTTTTTTAACCTTAAGATTATTTCCTATATTAGTACTTCTGTATTTCTTTATATTATGTATGTACAAGGTATTGTAACTTTTTAGTTTATTTTAAGATTTTTAACTTGACTTATTCTTAATTCTGTTTTTGATTTGATTTGCAGTCTAAGGCTCATTCAGGGTACATTTCACTACATGTTGTACTTGTATAACCATGTATCATTAGAAATCCTTAAACCTCGCCTGTGTTTTATTGTAACACCCGTTTTCCTGTCCCCTCTTTCTGTAATGCAGTCCTGTCATTTGTTGATGCGGCTAAGAGAGCAAAACCCTGCCAGAGAAAAACCAGCACAGACCAGCATGGCCAGATCAGCAAAAGACTACTAGATCCAGAATGCAAGGAGGACCTATTGTATCATTACATCTGTACAGTTATCCTCTGCCTATCTCCAATATGTCTAATTGTGGGCACAATTTTCTTCATAATTTTTTCTTATTTATTTCTATGTTTTGGTTTTTTCTCTATTGCTGTTTATCTTCAGGCTGCTGTAACAAATAAATTTCCCCAGTGTGGGATCAATAAAGCCTCATCTCATCTCATCTTATCTTATGATTTCCATGCTGGTCTATGCTGGTTTGGTGCTGGTTAGTGCTTGGTGTTGGTGTAGCTGGACGTGAAACTAGTCCATGCAGGCCGTGCTGGTAACCAGCTATGCTGGTCTATGCTGGATTCTTCAGCAGGATGGGGAGCGCTTGGTTTGATGCAGCGGATCTCCCCACCAACGCAAACATGGCAGAATCGTTGTCATGTGTGGATATGATCGCATAGAGGAATGAATACTAAAAAAACGATTAATCGTGCAGCCCTAGATGCCGCAGTGTGACAGCTGAGAGCAGCAGGGCATCAAACCTCATCAGGTACAGTGTGAGCAAGTGCTACACTGGACCAGGCACCTCCTACTGGTCACACGGAGTATGTCGGCTTACCGTGTTCCATCTTTGGAGAACCTGCACATGGAAAAGAGAAAAATATGCATCAGGTAATGTACCCTCACTTTTTCAAGACCAAACTGCATACAACCATTTCAGTGCTTTTTTTAGGATTCAGCCATGCAGTCACAGTGGTGTGGTATCCAGGCCTCAAACTAGCAAATTACAGCGTGCTTTAAAGAACAGAGGCGACATTGGTTTGTACTCAATGGAGCAGCCCTTACGTATGCAGATGAGCGCTTTGGACCCGTCGACGTTGTACCACTGCAGTAAGTTGTTATTCTTCTTGCACCAGATCAGGCTGGATGTGCCAGCCTTCCTCAGGTAGCCATCAATGCACTTGTAGCGGTACTGGCTGTTCTCCTTGTGGACCATTGCTGAGCCATTCGGGATGGTGTGTTCCTTTGGCGGGGGGTCCGAGCACGTGTCTGCAGAAGCCAGGTAGAGACAGCACATAGGATCCACTCACTTCCCTGTTAGCCGCCTGCTCTCTCTTCCTCTACTGCTCTTGCCCTTAGTTGTTTCACCACCACAAATCCAGTAGGGGGAGGCACTGAGCCTGTCCTCGGGGGCATCAGGCCAGAGATGGCAACACCCCGATTTACAGACACCAGCTTCCGTAACTGTGTGTCTTTGGACTGCAGAAGCAAACGTGCACACATGCATGTGGGGAAAGCATTCATGCACCCAAAAGTGGACAAGATAGACCCTCACCCTCCAGCAGGGGGCGTGTAAAGTAACAGCCCCACCTACGAGCCCCTCTGTTGCCCCACACCCGTTCCTCTGATCATTCTACTCCTCACTGAAATTTAAAACCACTTAAAAATGTGGGGAATGTGAACTCATTAGAAGACTAAAAACACAACATCATGTTTTCCCTTATTAGTCACAATCACAAACAGGTGTGGACGTGTTCACTTGCACAATACAGTTTTGTGTCCCAAGTTACAAACAACATTAATGTACCCCCATTGGTACAAAAATGTTCCTCAGAGTCCATTTCTGTACCTTAAGTTAGACTAAAAGGTACATTTAGCTACAGCTAGGGGACGATTGCTAGACTCTTGAAGGTACAGCCCCAGTGACATGTAATAATAATAATAATAATGATAATAATAGATTTTATTTGTGACGCACTTTACATTTAAAATAAATCTCAAAGTGCCACAAAATAAGTCATCATAAGAAAAGTGAAAAAACACCTATTAAAACAACAATTAAAGCAAGCAAGTAGATCAATAATTGAGAAACCTGTAGCCTGCAAAATTAATTAAAATCCATAAGTTCTATTAAAAAGAAATGTCTTAAGTCCTTTTTTGAAATGTTCAATAGTTTGTGGTGGCCTCATATGGGGGGGGTGTTCCATGGTGGAGGGGCGACAGAACAGGAGGCCCGATCACCCATGGTGCTGAGTTTGGTCCTGGGAAGTAGGAGATCATTTGCATTTGTAGATTGTCAAGACCGTGTTGAGGTTAGGGGGGTAAGTAGTTCTTTTAGGCAAAAGGGGGCATTTCCATGGATGCATTGTTGAGTGATAAAGGAAACCTTGTATTCGATCCTTGCAGAAATGGGAAGTCAGTACAGTGACTGAAGAATAGGTGTAATGTGTTCATATTTTCGAACTCTCATCAGAATCCTTGCTGCATTGTTTTGTATGTATTGGAGTCTTTGAAGATGTTTGTTGGGCATTCCAATGAGAAGTGCACTGCAGTAGGCGAGTCTGGAAGAGATAAGGGCGTGAACCAGTTTTACAGCATCTGGCAAGGTGAGAGTAGGATGGAGTTTTGCAATAGTTCTGAGGTGGTGGAATGAAGTCTTGCAGAGATGTTTAACATGAGCTTCAAAAGTGAGTTGAGGATCAAATCTAACACCAAGGCTGATGACTGACAAGGCGAGGGGAATGTCGTGACCGGAGACTGTCATGCTGGGTATGGAGGCTGACTGAAGCTGATGCGGGGAACCAACCAAGATTGCTTCAGTTTTAGAGCAGTTTAACTGGAGAAAATTTTGTTTCATCCACATACTGATCTCATCAAGACAGATGCTGAGTTTCGATGGCATTGATGGTGATGGTGAAGATGATGCTGCAGAGGAGTATTTATCAGTTTTCATGTAAAGCTGTGTGCCATCAGCATAACAGTGAAATGAAATTCCATAGCGACTAATGATTTGGGCAAGAGGGAGCATGTATAAAGTGAAATGGATGGGGCCGAGAACTGACCCCTGGGGGACTCCACAGGCCACAGTGTGCGTCCGGGACCTTGCTTTTCCAAGGGAAATGTACTCTGTTCTGTCTGTAAGATGGGATTGAAACCAAGACCAGGCGGTGTCAGATAGTTCAATGGTGTGATGTAACCGATTGAGGAGTATATCATGGTCAATGGTGTCGAACGCAGCAGATAAATCAAGGAGAACGAGCAGAGAAGGTGAGCCAGCATCAGCCGTCATCAGCAAGTCATTTGTGACTCTAATCAAAGCTGTTTCTGTGCTAAGGGCAGGGCGAAAACCAGACTGAAATTTTTCAAAGAGGTTGTTGTATTTGAGGTGATCCTGAATATAGATGGCAACTACTTTCTCCAGTACTTTAGAGACCTTGACGAGAACCACGGCAGTATTGAACATGGCGGCTCGCAGCTGATTACAAACATTTCACTCATCGGTTCTTTCTTCACCAACTCATCTCTAGACAGCTTTAAAGGCAATAAAAATACAGTTCAGTTGTATCTGTAAGAACTTTAGCATCTGTAAATCACCAGACTCAAGCCTCTTGTCATTTTTATGGAAGAACAAACCATCACGATTAAGCTTGAAAACTCTGCAAAAAGCCAAAGGTAATGGTGGTCTAGAAGTACCAAGTTTCTATCACTACTTCTTAGCCAACAGACTGCAGTATATAACAAATTGGATCAAATCAAGCCCGGTAGATAGTCCATGGCTGGACTTAGAACAAGCAATCTGCGGAGAAGTAAAATTGTCTGATCTGCCTTTTATAAGTCCTACCATTAAGCGTTATAAGTGTTTTAAAAGCCTTAGTATGAACACCTCATTAACAGCCTGGTGGGAATTTTTAAAAATAACTAGGTCTCCACTTATCCCCTACAAACTAACACCCATTTGGAACAATCCAGATATTTGCTGAAAAAAGATAACATTAAACTTTCCCTTATGGCATGATAAAGGGATTAGTAAATGTTAGATACATGTTATTCAAAACAAGAAATTTATTTCATTCGACGAACTAGTCTCAAAATACGGAATTAGCAACAGTAAATTTCTTGGGTACCAGCAACTGAAGTCCATTATTTAGGCAAGGTTCAATCTTAATTAGTTTAACTTAGAAATACCTCCATGGCTGCTAGACTTTTTAAATCTCTCTAGCCCCAAATTATTGTCAAAAATGTATAAGTTATTGTCAAAAATGGATGACTCAATTTCCCTCCCAACCTCAAAATGGGAGCAAGATCTATCCATCGATCCAGATCAAAACTTTTGCAAACAAATATGTTTAAACACCTTCAAAAACCCCAACTTACAGCTTATACAATATAAAACTCTCCATAGAATTCATTATACAGGACAAAGGATGTTCCAAATGGGCCTTATACACTCAAACCTATGCACCCACTGCTCAGGTGACTTTGTGGAGAACTACATGCATGCCATATGGTACTGCACAACAGTTCAGAAGTTCTGGCAAAAGATATGTGAAGATTTATCAATTTGGTTTAATTGCTATATCCCAACCTTACCTACATTGTGCATTTAAGGTGATGCAAGTGTATTAGATATGGAAGAAAATAAAGTGCACATGATCTTTACTGCCTTAGGCATTGCAAAGAAAACTATCTTCATGAACTGGAAATCAAAAAATAATTTATGTGTTACTCAGTATAGAAATTTAATTCTAGGCCACATAAGTCTGGAGAGAATGTCTGATTCCCTCCAAAAAAATCAATTGGGCGAATTGGATTCTCTCTCGTCCACTCTGACCAATTCCATTATGTAGGGGGGATGGCCAGCTGTGGTCTTGTCTCCTCGAGATTCTGGCGGGTGACGGGGTTGGGTCCCAGGCTATGGGCGGCTAGTGGCTTCTTGGAGCTGGGGGGCTGTGGCTGCTGTCTTGTGATGTCTGGGTGTCTGCCCTGGCTGGTGGTGGTGGGGGGGGCTTGGGCGGGTGCTGCCTGGCAGTCATGAGGCGTGGGGTCTGGGGTGCTGGTGGCCGGGGCTTGGCCGTTTCCTCGGTGGGTGCCTTCCTGCGCGGGGGTGGCCTGTGCTCCCTCCGGGGCACCGCCGGGGGGGGGTGGGCCGGTCCAGCCCGGACTGGTCTGCCACTTTTTGTCGTCGAATGAGTGGGTGACTGAGTGCAGGCTGCCCTTCGGGGTGGGGGTGGCTAACTCTTAGCGGCGGCACTGCTCCGGGGTGTTTGGGGGCCCTGGGTCCGCTACTTCCCATGCAACGGTGGGGGGCTGGGGTCCTGGGGCCCTGGCCCTGGCCCGTGCGGGAGCGGCCGTCACCCTCGCGGGGTCGGCTGCCTGTTGCCTCTGGTTCTCTGGGGCTCGTGCCCTTTTGGCTGCGGGGGCTGCGCCTGGGACCTCCCTCCTCCTCCTACTGGGGTGGGGGCGCGGCTGTCGTGGGGACGTGGGGCCTTGGCTCTTCCGTGCTCTTGGGGGGCTGCGGACGCCTTGGGTCTCCTGGGCCTGTCTCCGCCGACCTCTGGCTCTTGTGGGGTGTGGTTGCGGCCCCCCACCCTCGCTATCAAGTACATTCCATGGAGAAATCCACACGCACCCAACACACGCACACGTGTTCACACACCTCCCCCACACAGATGAACACACATGCAAATACAGTTACACGCTCCCTTCCAAGCACATGCTGCAATTCTGTATGTCTGTATATCTGTTTTACTTTCTTTATTTCTGGTTGTGTCTTTGTATTTGTCCATTTTTGGTTGTATTTCAAATGTGTTTTTTTTTTTGTTATGTGCTGTTTACGTTACTCCTGTCTTTCTTAGCCTCTCTCTCCCACTGTTGTCTCCCCCTTTGTTTTTTTTTTTTTGTTCTTTTCTTTCCTTCTTTTTAATCTCTCTCCCTACCCCTTTTCTCCACTCATTTTCCTCCTAATCTACCACTTCCTTCCGGGCTGCTCGGCAACTGCAATATTTTACATGTGTTAAAAATTAAATACAATAAACAAATAAAACGAAATTGACCAACATGAAGGGCCTATACAGAGTTTATAGAGCCCCTCATGGTAAAGCAAATATGTCTGACACAGCAGTGCACTCAGACCATTATTCTGCTTGCGAAAGCTGCCAGACAACACACAAAAAAAAGAAAGGAAAAAAAAAGAGAAAAGAGAGGAATGGAAGGTTGGAGATAGGCCTATAGTTGGCAAAAACCTCTGGATCAGGAGTGGGTTTTTTGAG